AAACACATACATGCATGCACATAGCAGGCATCTTTGCACTTTCTCTTATGCACAGGTGGAGTTTCCCATAAAATTCTGCAAAGGCAACACATTATCCTCCAAATCTCTTCTCACCTCTGACATGCTCCCTATAAATCACATTAGAATGCTTAGGTAGTTGGTGTGCTTCAGCCACTGCTTATTATGCTCTAATCATAATAGTCTCCCTGTCACATTGTATTCTTACCTTTGTTGTATCAATTTACTTTCTCTCCTCTTAATGATGTCTGGGACACAGAGTGTCTTTTCATTATGTATGTGTGTACCACACCTAGCTCAATGGGACCGAAATCTCAGCTGGGGCCTCAATGTCCTACTGTAATACTTGTTACCTACTTGACAGTTCAGGTAAGTAATATCACAGGTAAACTGTTAGGATGCCAAGTTCATGAGAGTGAAGTACTTTGAGATCAGGCAGGGTAGAATTACAAAGTAAGATTGTAAAATACATTACTGCATTATTTGCACTGACCTTATTATAAGGCTGGAATGGGGGGCAGGGGGCACACAGAATCCCTAGTGTGGGGAGACTTGGGGACCCTGGCATATGGCTGAATGAGGGGGACAGAGCCCCAGGCATTGGGGTAGGAGGAAGTTGCAAGAAGTCCCTGAAATAGAGGAAGATGGAAGGATGGCACACAGGGAACTTGTGGGAGTGAAATGGTGGAAATGCAAGGAGCCCCTGGTGTGTGCAATAAGCTTGGCCAACAAAACAACAAAGTGTGCAACCTAGTTTACACTGTGACCTTGAGTGGCTTTTCAAATACCCTATTTCTGAAATGACTCACTAGATAAGACCTGCTCTGAGGGATGTGACTTTTGTACTGAAATAGTTAACTGATTCAATCCCTCATGTAACAGTTATGCCAGTATAGCTTATTCTTCTTCATGTATAGAAAAAAACTATAACAGAATTAGCAAAGGGGAAAAAGCCAATATTTTCAAACATGAATGTCTAAAGTTAGTCTCATAAATAAATTGGCCTGATTTTCAGAGGTGGTAGGCCCCCATAGATCCAAATTAATGTGGGAAGTAGCACAGCATCTGTGAAAATCAAAGAGTTATATGTAGGTGTCTAAAGATTGACTTAAGTGTTCAACGGTCAGCACACAAGTTTGACAATTTTGGGCCCCATCTAATGTGTAGGGCACTGGTTAATCAGGTAAATGACACTAAATGGAGTTACAGTAGTGTCAAGACTACAAGATCCTTCACTGTATGTCGCTGAACCAGGTTTCCTCATTATGGACAAAAGCAGACACATTTCTGCTTGATTTCATAAGAAGTGTTTAACATTGAAAAGATCATTGTTTTGAACAACTTGGCATCATCAATCATGATCTCTAGCTTTTACATATTTTGATTAACCATATTTTGTCTCTGCCATATTTCTAGAGATATCACTAATGCCTCTCATTGGCTCTTTAACAAATGTAATAAATATAACATGACATCAGTGTTCCTTTACAATTTACTATCCAGTAACTCTTCCCCCATCTTAGTGAGTTACATTAGTTTTAAAACCGTGTACTGAGGGTGAATAATTTTTCCTTAAGGAAAGCACACTGCTGTTCCAAAACGTTCTGTCGGTTCAAGCTTTTAAGACTCTTCAATGCCAGTAGGTCTTGTACTTAAAAGCACCCTCAGGGAGAAAAGAGTACATTTGGAGGCAGTACAGTCTAGTGGGAGTCAGACCAGAGACTAATTCTGTTATTGTTTCACTGCTACTTACCTGTTTCCACCACCCCTGATACCCACTTAATGCTTTCCTCCCTGTTGCAAAGTACTTGGAAATCTAAAAACAAGAAGCACTATGCAACGTTGATTAACAAGATCCAGGCATCCCTATTACCGAAAGGCCAAATCCTACTCATCCTACTCACCAAGTAGTTCCACTGCAGACAGTGGGACTATTCTCATGAGTAAGAGCAAGTTTTGGCCCAAAATGGCTTTTCTAGTCTTGTGCCTTAATCCTTTCATGACCAGAGCTTAATATTTGTGGTGCAGCCATCTGACACTGGTTAATGCATACAGTGAAGGCTCCCAGTTCTGTAGGAGAACCCCATCTTCACCACCCTGAGGGCTGGTAAAATTTACAATGGCTAATTAATTTTAAACAATGGGCAATCGCGTGCTGCGAGCCATATTTGAGGATACCCAGAGTGTGCTGGTTTACTATTTCCCTATTGACCAGTGCAACTTGTGTCTGCCCAGATGCAGGCTTTTATTTACCGATCAGCCCCAAGGCTAATTGAAGTAGTCTTGTGGCCTAAAGCACAGGACTAAGATCTTTGTTCTAACCCTCACTCTTACAACAGGGAAGAAAATCACTCCCTTGGTGTACCTCAGTTTACCAATCTGATGAAGAATACTACCCTACATTTCAAAGTTAGAGAGAATCTTAATATTTTTAAGCACTGATTTTTGAATGGGAGACAGTACGTATGCCAATAAAAAAATTATTGATCACCATCCAACTATATAATAAAAGCTGTACAGTACTGAATTCACACTATTTGCTCTTCAACACAGCAGGGAACTTTTCTTGCAAGTTTCTTGATCACCACATACGTAAAAGGCACACTACACAGTAAAAAAATCGGGGAGTGGGGTGGGAAGAAGGCACAAGTGAAAGCTGCAGTCATTTTGCACTGCAAAACACATTTTGGAAGTTCACGGTTTGAGACTTTTACTAGGAATAACCTTGATTTGAAACTCATTTTCTACAGAACTAGATACACTTTAAGAGAGGCAGGGTTGCCAATGGATAAAGCACTGGACTGAGACTCAGGATATCTGGGTTCTAGTCCCAGCTCGGCCACTGGCCTGATGGTTCATCTTAGGCAAATTGCTTCACCTTCATGTGCCTCAGTTTCCCTATATGTAAAATGGGGATAATAATGCTTACCTCCTTGATAAAAGCATTTTGAGATCCACTGATGAAAAACACTATATAAAGCTAGGGGATTTATTATCTGTATTATTATATAAATCAGCAAAGCACCTCAAGAAAGACACCAAACAAAAAAAATTGTATTCCAGATTTATTGTTTAAATCTCCATATAGTGAAACGGTTGAAGTACAAATAAGTTGTACAGGCAGCAAGAGATTCCATCTCCATCACAAGCTAAAACCCTCATAAATTTGCAATGAAGTTAAATAATAGCTGTTGAAAGCAATCAGGTTAGAATAGTTAGTCATAGATGCAGTTAAATGAAAACTTTTTAGAAGGCCGGCAGACATCTATTGCTACACTTGCTAAAATTTCAATGAGTTTCTGCAGTTGTTCATTACCATGCTTGGGTTGCCAAACACCTGTCAGTAGGAAGCCAGTTTAGAAGCAGGGCAAATTATTTAATGCTGTCAAAAAGAAACTGGTTTCTGCATGAACAAGTTGTTGTTCAGGGTGGCTGGTCAGGTACAGTAAAAGGCTATTGTAGTTTTCACGGCAGGACACTATGCCCATTAGATCTTTGGTTTTCAACCTATGGTCCAAGATTCCAAAAGAGAAACAAATTTTAGGAGTCAGCAAATGAAAAAAGGTTGAAAACCACTGCCCAAGTCAGAGGATTGTCAATTAGTACCCCTGGGTTCAGGTCACAGCTGTGTCACTGACTGGCTGTGTTAATTGTCCTCTCTGCATCTCAGTTTCCCTTTTTGTAAAAGGTGAAGAGTTACTCCCACCATTGTGAACTGCTCTGTGACCTACAGATAAAATGTTAAGTGCAAAATATTACCCAAGTACTGTCTGTCCAGGCAAACAGCTCTAATTTCCCCATGAAAAAGTTAGGCTCTCACCTAGGAAAACCCACACTGAAGTGGTCTGTATCTACACCTCTATGCTACAAGAAAGCAAAGACACTGTAGGGATTTGAACCCCATCCTGGAAACCAGGAGTGCCAACCACCAGCATCTTTTGCTTTTTTTGTTAATATAATAAAGGTGAAAAGCAAAACCTGAGAGAACAGATTGTTCTCTCAGGAAAAGAAAAACCTTGAAAGAGCACTGAAGAAATCTGCTTCATCTAAGCTTCTACTTCTGACAAATCACTTATTTCGAGTTTGTTAGGACACCTGAAAAAGTCTTAGCAGAGAGTTGCAAAAGCCCTCCCAAAAGCCACCTCACAATGAAGACAGTTGAAATTTATTCTAATTGTTTATTTACAGACAGTATGGCGGGTACCCACCCCCTAACATTCCTCCAAAGCAGCATTAAGTTGTTTTGGTTTTTGGTTTTTAATGTTAAGTATTTGCCACCTATTATGTCTAGATTGACTATTTAGTTTTGGGACGGTTTTGCCTGTCAATATTATTCTGAGTGTTATTTGAAGGTAAAGCTATTTTAGTAATAGTTTATAATTAAGCATCATTACATTTTTTAAATGTGATGTTAGCTTCCAAAGTTAGGAGAGTTCCAGGCAAAGTACATTATCCCAATTTTTTGTAGACTTACATTTTAAAATTTTACCTTAAGAGAAAACCGCATACCAGTGACAAGGATCCATGCTACCAGCTGAAGCAAGAGGAAAAGCGCTGTGTGTAGTCTGAACTAGGTACTGAATAGCAGGTTTCTGGAAAAAAAGTCTAGCGAAAACTGGTTGTGGTTTATCCCCTCCTCCCCCTCCCTTAAGTATTTACATCATTTTAAAGTATAAGCCATGATCTGAGAATTAGTGTTTTTAAATGGGGGTTTACATGAAGTGATAACATGGCTATAAGTACACAAAAGGTACTCAACATTACTTTTAAAGTAATGTATTAACTTGCTCAATATATAGTTAATGCAAAGAGCATCCTTCGAGGCACATATCCTCAGTATATGCAAGATTATATTACAAGTGCAACCCCATTGCCTTCAATAAATTCATGTAATTTTAAGAGTGACCTTGATGTAACTGCTTTGTCGTCATGTCAGTTTTGTCACAAGATGTCTGTAAAGGTCCATGGTTCTCCTACTTTTTAAAGCCTTTTCTGTCTTTAAATGGGGACACCTGCAAAAGTCTTAAGCAAAAGAGGTCTCAACCCATTTTCTCCCACCCACATCCCTAAAAAGATTCAAAGATATAGTCTCTCATTTTAAATTGGTGCAATTGCAGCATAAAGCTGGATAAAAGTTAATTATTTCCCCATTTTTTATTGTGGGTGGGGTGGGGAGGAGATTCCAATTTTTTTGAATCTTTTTATCTTATGGTAAATACAGAAAAGTTTATTCACCTGTTTGCTTTTTGTCCACTGTGGTATTTTCAAATTCATTGTGTCTGGCTGCTCCTTCTACAGGTCTGTGAAAAGTAATCTTAAAACTAGGTTGCCCCCCCCCTTCCCCCCCCCCCAAATTCCCAGTAAACTCCATGAAAATGAATTAAATTTTTTGTTCTAAAGTAAATAAGATCTATTCTTACTGGGTTGGCTTCTGTGGCCCATCATGAGGAACTGGCTTGTTTGGTATTTTCTTGAAAAGAACTGTTAAAAAACCAAGAAAGGAAGAGACCCATACAAAAGCAAGGTACTGAAAATGGTCACTAAACTGGTGGAATTTAAAATGTCACTTGCCAGTTAGTTTCCTGGAGGATTGTTGCTTGTTTGGAAGCTTTTATTTCTTGTCAATGAGATGTTTTAGATGTATCTGGAAGAGACTAAAGGCTTCAGTACCCCCTACCCCTACCCCCACCCACTTCAGAAAGGGAACAACAACAAAAAGCAGTTACCTAAATAAAGCAGCACAGCCAAAGGAACTTGGATCTCAGTCACATACACCGACTGCTTAAAGCTGCGGGGCATTTTACTCGTAGGGTAAAGAGCTCCTTTCAATACACAGGCACTTGTGTCATTCAGCTGTATTTTTTTCTTTCAAACAATCACTACTCCACACATGGACAAAAGCTTTGGGACACGTATTTCAATCGATTCAAATGCTCTACCCAAGCAGATCAAGCATACTGCACATTACTTGCCAACAGACCAGACCTGCTTCAGACACTGCATTCTCTGCGAAGTCTGTAAAAAGAAAAGCTAGAACAAGTTGTGAGCCCCTCCCACCCTACCCCAGCCACAGTCCAGATATTAAAAAAAAAAATGCTGTTAATGTTTGAAGATACAGAGGTTTAACTCACTGCAGGGGCCTTCACATACACACACAAGGTGTGGGGAACAGAAGAAAGCGCCAAGGCATGTCAAGCAAAATCATCCTGAACAGCTTCATGAAGGGATGGATCGATCAGGGTCTATACATTATGAAATGAAGCTTCTACAAAGAAAGATACTTAAAAAAAAAAAAAAAAAATTGCCCATTTCCCCCGCTAATGTTAATTGGAAGTAGAAAATGAGACGTCACTAGCACTGAAGGAAATGGTTGCAAGCATTGTTAGCATGCAAATTTCTAAATATGCAAACTGACTAGTGTTAAATTTAACAAATTATTGTGCAGTTAAAAGTTTTCCCCCCAACTATAAGTCAGTCTTTTTTTTTATTTTAACAGGACTTTAGCTCTGGAGACAAAGCAAGTCTTATTGCCAAAATTTTACTGTTATGAACTTACTCCGATTGGTAAGTTTTGCCCCCACTGGTCTAGTTTAAAGCATTTTAGAAATCATTCCTTGGGCAGATACTTTCCTTAATTACAGGACTTCTATTGCCAAGTACCTTGATCTACATTTGTCTCGATGAAGAGAGGGGTGGAGAGGGAGGGAAGGAAAAGATTCTGCAAAGACTTTCCTGCCTGAATAAAAAAAGAATTTCGGTCTTCTGTTCAATTCCTGCTCCCGTCCAATTAAGATCAGGTGTTCTTGGAGAAAGATTCTGAAAGATTAAAGAAGAATCCCCCCCACCACACTGCCCCAGAGCTAACCACACACAAAGAACATTGACAGCACATTTTTATTAATAAAAATGAAGACAAACTGTCTATTCTTAGAGCACATCAGTAACTTTATTAACAGGTACCTTTATAGCCTTTTTTTTTTTTAATCCCATGTTTTCTGCATATATTTTAATGCTACAAAATAGCAGAAAAATAAGGTGTGTTTTTTGGCAGCATAATGTGCTGTTTGGTATAGCATTTTAGGCTCTCAAACTGTAGGCCCAGAGTAGGCTCAGCCTCCAAAGGAGGATATACATTGCATGTTTGTTCGGAAGCACCACAGCATTGCTGCTATGCTTGTCTGCCTGTAGGTGATGGGCACAATCCAACTGTGGCCTGTGCACAGAGAAAGGAATTTAGAAAGTGGAAGTGCAGCCCTGAATAGGCACAGGGGTAGGTTAAGTCCCTCATACCCATTCCACACACTGCTAAAGGCTGGGAATGGGAAATGCCAGTTCAGATGTTTAGGGCTTCCACTGCTTCATAGCATTTAAAAAGTACATTTCCCTAACATGCAATATCTGCAGATATAATTGATAAACTTATCTGTAATAGATGCCTGCTTGTTTTTTTCAGCTCCCAGATGAAATGAAGCAAAACTCCTCATTAATAGTGCAGAAAACCTGTCTCAGGTAAACAGTGGAACACAGCACAAGCCTCCTCTCAAATCCAACAGTAGTGAAAGTTGATCCCAAATTAGATTGTGGTTTCAAAATAATTCATATTCTTTCTTCAAATCCATAAGATTTAGGTAGTAATATTCATACCAAATAGTTTGGTAGAAGCCATATGTATTTGCATATGCATTTTTTCTGCCGGTATTTTCTTTCAATTTAATTGCAATGATGTGGAAGTTGTTGTTCACTGCTTTAATGAAATTATGTATTTCAAGAAGGACATTTGCTCTTTACTGCATATAATTTTGAGATTTCTTAGAGCAAATATTCTGATCAGATAATTGATAGTCAATGCTTATTACTTCAAATTTGTCAGTTTCATTGCTTATGGCTTTTTTTTTTTTTTCCGTAGACACATTGGATTTTCACTTGTTAACATCTGGGATCCTTTTCCATCAAGTAGTAAGGAATATTAGAATCTTTTCTGCCTTTACTTATCATTCGCCAAGAAGCTGTTCCCTCTGCATTTATGAGGCCATATTTTCTCAGGGCTCGTTGGGGCTATGATTCTGATGGCGGATCTGAAAAATGTCTACAAGACAAAAGTTGTTCCCCACACCATGCCCCACCCCCAAAAAGAAAGACACATTCAAACTAAACGCATTACAACTATGTTTCTTACTTTTTTTTTTTTTTTTTTAATTACTGTGTTTTAATTTAAAAATTACTGTGTTTACATTGATAACTGATCTGCTCTTGGGTCTTTCGGTTTATTTATTTTTACTATGACAGTAAGTGCACTTGAGAGTTTTACAGGATTTCAAGTATGGTGTAACATACTGTGTTGCATTTTTTAATACAAAAAAAAAATCTAAATAAAAATGCATAATTCCTACACTCAAACAAACCCACATTTCTAGGTTACAGACAACTGAAAGCAGAATCTTACTTGAAAAATACACAAGCTACCATCAGAAGGAATCACACCAGGGTCATTAAGCAACTTCTTTCTCTCTGAAGTCTCTACAGTAGCATTAAGTTACATTAAGCACCTGAAAAAAAATGCCAAAAAAAGAAAAAGCCACACACCACCATATCCAAGGTTTCAAACCGATTCCCACAATTACAGATAAGCACCAGAATATGCGTCTAGACACCACAACCCTAATAGTTACAAAAGGATTTGAATGTGTGTTTTTTATCTTACGTCCATGTTAATTTGGACTAGTGGAAGCTTTCCACTTCTGAGAGAGTATTTTTGGTAAGTTTTATGCTACAGGGGAAAAAAAATTAAACAAGCTACTTTGTGTTAGTCTGGGTTACAGTTTTAACGTTGTCTATTCTCTTTCTAGTACCGTGTGCGCTTTAAGTATATACATGCATATGGGCCCTGTGTGAACATTCCCAATTACTCAATGGGGCACTTCCTCAAGAACAATTCATTATGAGAATTACTTGCCAGGATTGAAGCTGAACATTCTTTTTTTCAGTCCTAAAGTTATGGATGTTTCTGCAGTTTAGGGAGAGAATCTGAAGAACATATAGACGATTATGTTGCCCCACCCCCACAAATATGTCAAGCCATATAAAACTGCACCTAAAATTCCACCCACAACACACATACTGTATCAAAGATTGTCTGTTTTGTTTACTAGAGAAAACTTAACTTTCAAGTTCTGGACTAGCCAAGCTCTTCTTAAATTCTCCTTAGAGGATGACTCAACGACCATGAATCCTGAATACAAGCTCCAATCCAACTTTCCAACTCCATTTTAGGTAAACTGTCCTTTCTTCCAAGGTAAAAGCTGCTCCGACTCTGGGGAATGTTCTCGCAACAGCACAGTAGATAGAACCACACTTCTAACCAAGCCAATAGGAACTATAGTATCTGCAAAGAGTCTAGAAACAAGCTTGTTTTTATCCCTACCCACCACCACCCTTTTCAACATACACAAAAATGTTTCCCTCTCCCAAAAAAATCGTACCTTTATAGTTTGATAATTTAAAAAATGTAAATTACTTTATGAAGAATCCAAACTTATAAAAATAGAATATAATTAACTTGCATTTCCCTCTGTCTGGCCAGTTTCTCCACACACTTGAATTGATATCTACACAGCTGCAATACAGGTCAATCACATTTCTAAACCACTGCCATCATCAATACAATAGAGGTTTTATCCTGATTACTGGTTCTCTTTTATCCTTTACATTGTCACCTCTCCAGTCGTCTGGCTCTAGGATCTAGACACACCTAGGGAAAAAAACTGAAGAAGTTTCTGGTCCCCTTCCCCTCCCTTCAAGGAAAAAAAAATACACTTTGAGCAAGACTAACAAAAGCCTTTTCCCTTCCCACTAGAATGCGTGACAAAAATACATTTATTTTCTCTTGCTAGGAACAGCAAGGATATGGGAAATAATATACATAACCTACAATATTTTAAGACGTGAACAAACAAAGTTTGTTGTTCTGTTGGGCAATAATCTTTTAAAAAAATTATATGTGATTTGCTTACACTTCACTGCCACCAGAGATGCTTGTCGCTCCACCAGGCTCACGACTTCCCCAATTTGGGTAGGGTTACAGCAATATAGACGCTAGCTACCACTCACTCCTAAAGCCGAAAGGAAAATTCCAGCAGTTTTCTAAACACTCGGGAAGATGACCACACTCTCCAGGCCTTGGCAGACTGCCCATTAGCTTCCAGACAAGATGCAATGAGTAAATAAGCCTGCAAAGAGAAAAACCTACGACACACCACTTGACCCACTCCAAACAAACCCCCTCTCATAACAATAAGCACGTTTACAAATTACTATTAATAAAGAGTATAGCAAAGAAAATAGTGTTTTAAAAAAATCAAGGAGAAAGTAGGTTACCAACTACAGGTTAAATTATTGCTGTCTTCACTCATTTTTCCACTTCTGCCTTTCACAAAGGTATCTTGATCTAGAAGCCTCTAATCTATTTTTTCAAAAATTTCTTGCTTGATCTTGTTTTCCGTGATTCTTTTTTCCTCTAGTTTCACCAATTTGCACTGGCTCTTTTTCCCCCTCTAACTTCACCAATTTGCACTGGCTCCTTGAAATCCTGTCTTTCTAGCTTCACTGAATCCACATTCCGCCTTGATCAATGCATCAGATGTAAAATGGCTGGTTTTATTCTAGTCCTTTTGTCAGCTATTTTTTTAAAACGTTTTAGCCCAAGACAAATTTTTTCCACTTAGTCCAACACAAAAAATACATCTTTTAAAGATTATTCTTGATCTTGAAATAATTTTCATACACAAAGTCCTTTGAATTAATAGTTATAGTATGCTATGAATTTGAAAATTTGATTTTTATGACAAAAACTGAGCTAGTTTGCATTAAGTTATTAAATTCTTCAGCAAATATTACTCCTTAGATTTTACAAGTATCAATTTAAGTCTTTTTCACCCTCCTGTCTTCACATTTTTTAACTAATCTGTCAGGGCACAGTTACCCATCTACTATATATAGTTATATATATTTTGCTCATCTTTAAAATGCAACTCCCCTTCTCTCTTCTCTTTTCCTGGGTCCTCTTCTAAATTACCTTCTGCCTTCTAATATTACCAAAAAAACAAACCACAACCTTCTCTCTTCTCAGTCTCCTGTCTTGAAAATCTTCCCAAACCTTGTTTCTAATATTTTCTTTTCTAAAAATCACTTTGTCTTTTTAAATAAAATCTTTGTTTCTTCATATTTTCTTCTGCTTGAAGCAGACTTAATCTGGCGTTTTAAAAACAGCCAGCATTCTTAATTTATTTTTTCACCCCAAACTGGTTTAAAGCATATTTTGGGTTTCAATTTATCTTCAATTTTATTTTTGTCTTGTTCTGCTTCTAAATTAATCTTCATTTTTTAAATCTTGTTTTTTCTTATCTTCAAATTTTAAATTTTTCTTTCCCAATTATCTTCAAATTTTAAATTCTTCTTTTGCCTTTTTTTAAGATGCAAGATCTATATTTCAAAATTTAGCATTTTCTTAATCTTCAATTTTTTTCTTGTTTTTTCTTAAATTTATCTTCAAGGTTTTCTTGGTTAAATTTTTATTTTGGAGGCATTTAAAATGCCCATTTTCTTTCAACCTTTACCCAAACCTCCGCTGATCACCCTCCTGCACTTATTGAATACTTCTGATTCTTTGATTCTTCTCTCCTCTTCCAATTGCCTTTCATATTAAAAATCTTCATATTTCCTGTTTTTAAGAGCATTAAGTGGTTTAAAAACCAGCGGCGCACTAGTTAACCATATATTTTTAATTATCAAACTATAATTAATATTTTAAGAGTAAAATCCTCTTTTTACTGATTTACTTTAAAAAATATTAGCTATAGTTTCCAATAGATTATTAATCTAGTTTGTTAACTTTTTTTAAAGCTATTCCTGGGCTGTTTCCCCTTTCCCTGTTTTATTTCCCTCTCCACCTGCCCTTTCTCCCTAGCTCTCCTGCCTGCAACTCTGACAGTAAGTGGGGAGGAGGGCATTTTATAGACTGGTGACAGACTCACTAACTGCAGCATAGAATCTCCTTCCGCCCCTCCTCTGCTGGGGGGAGGGGGAAACACTGCATGAACATCAACACAAAAAATAATCCCTGAAAATTCTATAAAGTTTTTCAATGTCCATTCACTGAAACGAGAGAAGTGGGTTTATTAATTTTTAATTAGAAAGGAAGAAAGGAATTAGTTCACTGGAGAAATTTAGTTTCTTTTGCTCTGTAAATGGGTTTATTAGACTGAGCCACCCTAGTGAATTTGTAACAAGATCCTAAATCATTTTACTGAATTATTTTTTTAAGATGAGTGGAATAAATCCTGTGTACAAAGCCAGGCATGAAAATAACTTCTCAATTATTTTTATCATTTTTTAAATAAAAACATACATAGCTTTAGTCTGAACATATCTTTCTTATGCAGCATCATGGTGTCTATGACAATAAGTTTTGGCCTATATAGAGAGTTTAAATTTTTTCTTGTAAAAAACAATATCTACAATGCCAAATACAATCCTTTAGATAAAGGTTTTGATCAAAGGTGTATATTCCATATTCCAACTAAGGGAGAAATAATGTTATGTAGCTTGAAAATAATTTTACTTCCAGTCTACCTACCTATGTGCCTGAATAGTTCTCCTTGTTTACTGCTTGCAATAGCCATTATGAGACTTTGGTATCTGGTCAAATAGATCTAAGTCTATGAGTTTTAATAAAAATTCACAGTCCCACTGAGTCCTTATAATGCCATTGATGTTTAAGCAGAAAAGTTCTCCATTAAGTTTGTGTTTTAAAGCATTTTGCTGTACCATCCACTATAAGGCCTGACTGATTTACAATATTTAAATTACTAATTATGTATGTTGTAAGGACTTTTGTCAACACATTATTCAAAATAAATACATCTCAAACAAATGGAAGATTTTTTTTTTTAAATAACCTCACTGGTTCAATTTTAAAAACTTCATTAACTTATTTTGTTGCTTTGTGAAGACTGATGCTTTTGAAAACTTAAATGGTAAATTAAGAGACTTACTATGTAGATTTAGTAACTTTGATTATGTATATAAGGAATTTGTTAAGTGAGGAAACTAATTCTTCGTATTTGTTAATATCAGCGATACTATCTTTTACTATTTTTAAGCGAGACAAACATTTTGACTGCTGATGAGAAAAGGAATACACCCAAAGAGACTTTTAAATACTGACTTGTAGATTTCATTTGTAAAAATCTTGAAAACCCATCAAATTAATAACAAAACAAAAAAAAGTGTAGATAATTTCTACAGCTTCATAAAAAAAATTCCAGTTTTAAATTCTGGTCACACTTTCAAAGGGATGAGGTGTGGTCTATTAATTCAAATTGGGAGTTATTTTTTAAATATTTTTTTCTGTAAAAGGTACTTTATTTAAATTAAGGCTGATAAGCATTATTATAGCTGGAAAACAATAAGGTATGGAAAAATCAACATTTGTATAAGGGTTTACGAACCTTTATGTCTGATGCTGATTTCCTCTGAGCAAAAAGCAATTTTTTTTTGTGAATTCTCTCTCTGGTTTAAATCCTGTTTGTGCATCTTTTTCAAACACTTACAAATTAGTGAAATGACCCTAATATATGTTTGTTTCTAGATACGTTGCTTGTAATTATCACAAAGTAAATCCTGGGGCTTTATGGGATTGTTTTAAAATCATTGCTGGGGCAAAATATTCGTTTCCAGTTGCTTGTGGTTGATCATTTCAACATTCAAGAGCACCTAAGACAGCAAATTATTAAAACTCTCACAAAAATCCTCAAAATCAACTCCAAAATGTGATGGTTTCAGACTTACTTCTGAGGAAAATTATCCAATTTGAATCTCATTTGTCACTTAAAAAAAAAAAAAAAAAAAAAAGAGACAAGGTTCCTCGAATTCT